CAAAAAAAAAAAAAAAAAAACAGAGGGAAAAAAAAGCCATAAAGATTGAGGAGTCTTGGAGAGGAGGAGGCAAATCCTTTTGGCTGAGTTAAAAGGGTTAGAACTGTGACAATTACAGGAATACCAAACATGATCTGAATGTGTGGGCATAAATTGTATGTAATTATATTAAGAACAGATAGACAATGAATAATTCATCTGTGTGTGTTTGCTTATAGTCTGACCTCTATTTCAACATCCTGGATCCTTTGCATTTTAACTGAATTGTAAATTAGAGTTTATAAAAAGTGTGTCCAGTTGCCATCAGGTAAGGTCAGATCACAAACTTCCTTCAACAGCCTAACCGAGAGCCAGACGGTATTAAATAAATTAAAAAATAAAGAACATTTCTTAAAAACTTGTTTTTTCGTTCATAATTTTCTCAAGTTGATCAATCTTTTTATAGTCTTCTGTCTGTTTTTATTAGTTTAATTTGTTTTAAAAAATAATGTTTTTCAACGGCGGAGGGTGTCTGTATATAAAATGATTTTGCAATTGGTACTATCTATTTTAACAAAAATATTAGCGATGCAGTTAATGTATTCTTTGCTGGATTTTTTCTAAACGGAGCCGTTTGCAATTTCTTTTTTCTTTTTTTTATTCATGCATATTGTCCATCATGACCTTCCGTAGGTTTTCTAACAGTTCACGTAATGCATTGTGGGTAGGTCAGGAACAGAGAGGACGCCATGTGCTATTGAGGCAGGGCTGCGGGAAGAGGACCTGGCTGTGACAATTTCGGACTCGGTTGCTGTTGGACTGGTGTAAATAAGCTCTAGTTGACGTTAGCATGTACTGTACCAGACGCTGCCTCCGGACCGCGCTGCGGGCCGCCGCCAACACGCACCGGTACGTAAGGGACCACAGTCGGTCACGTAACACCGCGGCCGCCGTACATCTCTCTGTGTCTTCTTCTTCAAGGGCAGACAGCCAGCCACTTCTGTTGCTTATTTTGGATAGAGCACATGTCGTTCACTTCTCCGTGCATGAAAATACAGAATTGGTTACTTGTCTGCCGTCAAGAGATATTGTTTAGTTTTTAAGGGTTGTGTTTAGTGTGCTCGCTGGTGTTTCGGGTTCCTACTTAGGCTGTAACTTAAGGACCCTTGTCCTATGAGTGCAACCAGATTTGGTGCAGGCACCAAACACCCTTCTCCTTTGGGAAGTTCAGGGTTGCCAAACACCCTTCTCCTTTGGGAAGTTCAGGGTTGCAGCTGTGATGCGGGATTTACCTTTGCAGCTTTTTGTCTGACAGGAAAGGTCACATTCAAGGAAAAGACTGATTGTCTTTTTGCAAACCTCACATACTGGCCATTTCGGACATGCATCTGTGAAGACCGAGTGTACTATGACTTCTTTTTCTGATCTCTAAGTAAGCTGTAGTGGAAGTAGTCACAGGGCAGTGATGTGTGCTACACTGAGATGGTGCATTAAAAATGTAACTTGAGAGACTTGTGGGATCCTTCACTTTTTAATAATGATGTAGAGTGAGGGGTTCAAAGTGAAATAGCTGACAATATAGTACAATTAAACAGCTACCAAGAATGGGTTTTGGGTAAATTTCTATGGTAAATTAACGACTGGACAGCGATACGGAAATGTTTAGATGCCCACTGTGAATTGTCCCTGTAGACCTTTATATCCTTAAGTGTTCTGTTTACCTTCTGCTGAGAGTAAGTTGATGTAATTTTTTTTTTAATGTCGTCTGTATGTATTTTTCAGGGAACATATTCAGCGGCAGGTTCCAGCTTCATGCGCTCTCAGACTTCTCAAAACAAGTCCTGCCACTCATTCAGAAGCCATCGCCAGCCCGCCGCTAGACGGAGCCCCCAAACAGTATTCCCCCAAAATCCAGCAGCTGGTCAATGACATAGCTAGCCTTACTCTGTTAGAGGTGTCGGACCTCAATGAGCTCCTCAAGGTATGTGGGGAAAGTCATTAATGCTGAATGAAAATCGCAGAGGTGTGGTGGCTTTTTGGGTTTAACCAATGATTTTGAGACATAACGTTGTTTATCTTGATTTACAGAAAACTCTGAACATTCAGGATGTCGGAATGATGCCAATGGGGGCAATGGCTGCTTCCGGTGTACCTGCAGCTCAGGTAAAAATAATTTCTGTCCGTCTTAAATGTGAAAAATCTGCTGCACTACCAAAGCAAAGTATGTGATCAGTGCTAGCATCACAGACGTGATGTTAAAGTTAATCTATGAATAACCAGTTAGTGCTGTCGGTGTTGGACACTTAATGGGTTCATTGTTACATTTGAATTCTGATTAGTTTATTTGTTTTGTTTTTTTGTTTTTCCAAATAGGCCACAGAAGAGGAGGAGGCACCAGTTAAGAAAGAGAAGACTCACTTCACAGTGAAATTGACAGAATTAAATGCAGCAGAAAAAGTAAAGCTTATAAAGGAAGTCAAGAACTGCATCCAAGGCTTGAATCTGGTGCAGGTGAGTGCCGTGTCCGGCCGCATTTTGTAGATGCACTCTGGAGCTTTTTTCCCCCTTCTAATAAGAGCAGCTTTTTGTCTGTCCTGTAAATTCTTGGGTTAATCCACTGCAACTCTGTCCAGTCAGCACTAAATCGAACAACTCTGTGTGTGTTTGTGATTGAAAACCAGCATGTTTTGATGAATTGACATAATTCATCTCTTTTTGTGCTTTTTAAAAATTTTAATTAGTGTTTATTGTCCCTTATGGACATCCGTAAGATTTCTAACAGCTCACGTGATGCATTGTGGGTAGGTCAGGAACAGAGAGGATGCCATGCGCTGATGGCATTTCAGAGGTGCATCCGGGTTGGCTTTAACCTCGGTTAAAGCTCTGACTGTTACCACACAGATGCTCTTCAACGGCTCCTGAATCTCCTCCAACACCCACAGCTGGATGAGCTTGACCGCAGGATTTGCTGACCACTTGATTTATTGTGTGGTCTTTTCTGAATGACAGGATTCTCTCACAAGAATAGTCTGAAGCCAGCATTAAGAAGTATCCTCTGGTTTTAAAGGGTTTAAGACACTTATCTGGGGCACGTTAATGGATTTCTTTTCTCCATCGACTCAGCTGGTGATTGCCACACACTGTTACCAGCAGGATGTCAGTAGAGGGAAGAGCTGAGCGAGGTGGCATACATGGACATAGATACTGCAGCATTTGACACATTTTCCGTTTCATTTCTCTAATTCCAGCCTCCAAGCTCCTCCGTCGTGTTCTTAAAACACCCAAAGACAGGATCAGACCACATTCACTGTGCAGATTTTATTCTTTACACACACGCACTATTAGTAATCCTGTATTTAAAGACTTTGATTTACTTTTGCACCGAGTTTAGCTTTATTCAGTGTTTTACTGACAGACTCGGCTCACCCTGTTATGACAGTGATGTGTTTTTTTCCCCCCCTCAGGCTAAGAAACTAGTGGAGTCTCTTCCCCAGGAAATCCGGGCCAACGTTTCCAAAGAGGAGGCAGAGAAACTGAAAGCAGCACTGGAGGCAGCAGGAGGCACCGTGGTGTTGGAGTAAATCTGTGCACCAGCGTGCCCACCCGTTCTGCCATTGTGCTGCTCATGCACTTCATCCTTCATAAAGTTATTTCTTTTTTTTACTTGATGACGAGGAGGAATCTAACGGTAAAGGAAACGAAAATGCCTTCTTCCATCAGTACCACCTCCCAGCAGCGTCCAGTGGGATGGTACAACGAGTCAGACTGAACTTTCCAGGGACACAGCCTGAACAAATGACCCCCCGATGTTTGCTCGTGTGTTTGTTTCTTTCTGATGTTTGTGTAGCAAACGAGCTACAATTCTCCTGGTCTGGGTGCCGCACAAGTCGGTGATAAATCTGTGTAGGCTTTCCCTATAGCAGCATGGTTACAGATACTAGGGAACACCAGATACTGTATCTAGCTCAGACAATGGCAAGGCTGAGTCTTTATTTTGCTCATCAGTAATGTGATTAAAGTTGGAACTTGACTTTCTTCTTTTATTTGGCATTTATTGATTTTTGTGGTTGTGATAAAAACAAACTTCATAACAAAGAATTGAAAGACCTCATTAGACTGTGTTGTGTTGCTTTGCAGAGACTAGAAATGATACATTTTTACTACTAAGGAACATTTTATCTTTCAGATGACTTGACGTGACGTGATGCCGCTGACCACTAGAGGTCACACTGCTTCTCTGGAAGAGATGGTTTGATATAAATAGTTAATTTATTTCCAAAGTCCAATTTTAATTCCTCCCTGTGGCCTTAATCTTTGCTCTCTGTGGAGGTAGAGTGTCCCACTTGTGTTAGTGCTCAAGCAGTGCCTACTATACCGCCTCCTAAAGGTGCACAAAAGTCTTTGATTCAGGGTCACTGGAAAGGAATTAAAACATACTTTGTTTGAAGACAAACACATTCCTGTCATGAAGGAGAGGAGCATCATGCTAAACCTTAACAGTAGGAACGATAAACTGCAGTTTGGTGGTATTTTAAAATGTTAAACCACCAGCTCTAAAAGATTTTTGTGATGCCAGTATGTAGTTTGGTTAATAAGTATTTTATAACCTGGATGTCTCCACACTCCAGTTCCTGCTCATTTAGTTTTCTTCATTAATCTGAAAGTGGATAGATCACCTGATTGACACAGATCCAGTTCTGCCTCAGCAGCTGTTAGTGTCCCAGTAAGAGCCACACTCCTTAAGATGAAGGAACAAGTGTAACCTTTTCGACTGAAATGTCAACACAAGTTTAAAAATCCTCCGTTGTCATTTGGAAGGTTTTGCTGTTGAGGCATCTTCGGGGAAACATTTGAATGTGTAGAAAGACTATAGATGTTCACGATCTATTACTGTATGTATGTGTGCTGAGAAATGATTATAAAACAGACACAATGATGAGCTCAGAGCTGTTTGAGTTGTCACTGACCACACATAGCCACCAGGTGGGGTATGTAGGCTGCACAATTTGAATAGGACGTTGTATTTGGAATGTATAGCTTAAATTATTCTGTATGAAATCTTTTCAGGATGATCAGTGCCAAATGTTGACCCTATAATTTGTATTCCCTGAACGATTTATATATTTGTTCTAGCACTACCTTCACAGAAGGGATTGTTATTTTAATCTGCTTTATAGGATTAAGTACTTAATAGTTCAAAATACGCACCATATGTTCATCAGAGCGTTGCATCAAGAAGCAAAGCAGCCTTAAATCAAATGCTTAAGATTGTAACTTGGTTACTGTAATTCTTTATCTGTGGCTATTTTATTTGTTTCAATCTAAAATGGAATTTGCCAAAGCAACAAAGAGGAAAATGGTACGAAGCAAAACTGATTTATCTGGAGCTATTATAGTAAAAACAAGAACATTTTTATGTGTGTGTGAAGATAGATAGATAGATAGAATAAATAAACAAATATATTTGTGACAATTTTAAAATTTAAATCAATAGAAAAACTAATTTAACTGCCAAGATTGGAACTGTGGCGGATAAAATGAGAAAAGCCGAAAATGGCTGCCCAAAGTGATTTGCTGGTTGAAGGAAACAGTTTGTCCTGAGGGCGCCACAACCAGAAGTGATGCACAGTATGAACAGTGGAGGGAGGGCAATGCTAAAAGCACAGAGGGAAAATATTCACACCTGCTGACCTGCCAGTAAATATGAATTTGAAAACATTCTGGACAGTGTCTCAGCTTTCATGGGGCTTTCTCACCGCAAACATTTTAAGTTTCGCCAGAAGAAAAACACAGGTGCTGCAGATGGCTGCCAGAACGTCAGACCCTTCACACACCAGTTTGATCATCAACGGCTTGACTGCAAAGCTGCGGCAAAAGAATCAACTTTGCAGAAAAAGATGCAAGTGCAGATGGGGAGGTGAGAGAACCCTTCTGAAGGCGATGAGTGGCAACACATTGCAGGAACACATGGATGGCAAAACAGGCAGTCGTTCAATTTCCCCTCAGAGAGAAGACTCGGAGGAATTCAGTCCTGGTTAGAATATCCAAATATAAGATGTGTAGTGAGAGAAATTAATTACAACTGACTACAAACTTTTAGAAGGGCACATATCATGGTCATTTAATTTCCCCTCAGAGAGAAGACTTCAGAGAATCTGAAAATTCACCAGAACCCTGCTGTGATCGGTTTGATGGTGGTTTCAAGCTTGTTTAAAAAATGAAGAGTTACTTTTATCAGTTGAGGCAAGACGAATCAAACCATATTGCATTTTTCATTTCAACACAATCTTATAAAAAGACATTTTATGCACAATATATATTGCACTTATTTTTTCGATTTTCAGATAAACACTTAAACATTTCCTCATGGCCACATATTAAGAATCAAGAGGCCAAAGCACATTATTTCATTCTCAGAAAGTGGCAAAAACTTACTGAAAATTTTTTGAAAATCCGGCTTTCTTTTGCTGCTGTCCATTTTTCACAGGAAAGAAAAATAACCTACATTTCAGCGTTGTTTAACCACACATCTGATAGCGTAGAGTTATATTTGTAAGGATGAATTGATTCTTAGCAGATATTAGTATAACAGAGAAGAATTTGGCCTGATTGCGTCTGTAATTTATTTTCCTTTCAATGCATGGGAAACAATGTAAAATGCTGCCTAGAAAAAGAATAATTGAACAATCATGGCCTTAATGACTTATGACAGTGCTCATGTGGTTCAACTTAATTGTTGATGCTGTACACGTCCGGCTTAGAGAAGGTATGATAATACTTTATGGAACTAATTTACGATGAAAAAACTTCTACTGAAACATAAAGATGATATGCTATCCTTATAACACATTTTTTCCTACATGATTTGAATTAAATGTTAATATTATTATCATTTTGCCATTTCAGCGAGAATCTTATTCAAGATGCATGAAATCTGAACTTCAACTTTAGGTTGCTAATTTGCCAAAATTTACAAATCTACGGCAGCAAACAAGCTGTTTCCAAATTAGTCATACAATTTCCCACCCACAAAGCAGCTGCACCCCTTCTCTTGGCGCCGAGACATCAAGTAAATAGGAAGGCTCTGAACTTACTTAGCTGACTGGGCTCAGCCATATGGTTTTCCCCAAACGGCTTTTCGTCAACCCAAGATTACTTTTTGCATGGACTTTGTCTCTGTGCATTTAACACGGCCACTCATCACCGGCAGCACTGAGAAAACAAGATTAAACTGGTCGCCCCGGGACACTGTTGTCCCAGCAACCTTAGTGAAGGTGACATTTTTTTCCTTTGGAGTTGGTTTCCCTGACAACATGCAGGACAACTGTATTTCTTGCTGACATTTCTTTGGAATCCCCCAGAGTGCAAAAGCCTGCTGAACACACCCACTGGATTTGACTAAAGTTAGATTAGGCTAATGAGTGTTTGGAACACACTTTTCCAATAGTATCCAAAATCACACATGAATAAATGTGACGGATCTGCATATGCTGGCTCCTTTATCTAACAGCTTTGTCTAATAAAAAAAAATCACATTAGCAAGGACTTCCAAAGCCACCAGCACTGTGGTGGCTGTGGCCAAGATGGCTATTTTTTGTGGCTCCCAGGAATAACCCAGGCTTCATTTTACAATTCAAAATCCATTACAGCGTCCGTTTTGCGTTGGTGCCTTAGTCCTTTTTAAATTAGCTTTTGCCTGCAAAAGAAAGTGGTATTTTATGGCCTACTCTTTTCAGGATAGAATTTCAGTCCTCGTTTGTGGATTTGTGGCTCATTGACTGACTTCTATGTCAGAAACCTTTTTTTTTTTAATGCGTCACTTAAGTCTTTAAACTTGTAACCTGAGGGACATTGTTAAGGAACAGGGCACATCTTTTTGCTGTTATATTTATAGAAATAATTGAATCACGAACCTTAGAGGGTGCCCAGACACCTTTTTTGTTTTGCAAAAAATATCAATTAATCATACATATTTATGACACAAATCAACTTGTATAAAATTATTATATCTGGCTTTGTAAAAAAGTTGGATCCTAAACCCTCACAGAAATCCCTGTTAGCATTTGCTATGCTTTTCTGAGATATTGAAATCTTTGAGGACTTCATAAATTAAATACGATGTTCATCCTCAATTAAGTTGCAACTTTCTCGTTGAATACTTAAGGCATCGACTTTTTGGGATGGATCCTTGTTTCTCTGAGCATTATCATGTTGAGTTGTGGACTGTTTCCTGGCTCTATTACTTAGTTTGTCTTTCCCGAAGAGATGCTGGCATTGTCTTTGCCTAGTAGCAATCCAGAAGAAAGCACCCCAGCAAAACATTATCTTATGAATGATAGAATGACAAATGTTCCATTCCCTCCTAGTCATTTACCTTGGCGGGAATAACAGCCACCGTGCCAAATCCTTTACCTGAATTAAACCATCAGTGATTGTGGAAACTGACTTTTTTTCTTCACATGATTCTTTGGACCTGCACCAAACAAAAGTTGCAGCATCATTACTTTCGTGACTGCTTCTCTTTAGCCCACTGAAACTTTTCTTGCTTCTTTTAAATGTTATTGATGGCTTATTTTAAGCTTTTCTGGATGTTAAAAGTATTTTTTTTGTTTTTAGACCCATTCCTTTGAACTATCTGTCCTCAAGTGACGCTTCCTCAGTTAAGTTTTCACGTCTCCCTTTTAAAACCATCACAATATAAAAAAATCACATTGTTAGTAATGTTTTTACCAAGTTACAGTGTTCAGCTAAAATGGTCATATCTGTGTTTTTTTGTTGCTGTTTTTGTTTTGTTTATGTTTTACTAAATGAAAAAGCGCGATGAAAATCCTCCATGTGCGGAGGTCATTTTGTGTCAGTGGTTGTATAATCTCAGTATTCCGACTATTACAATTTAATGAGCCAATTTTCACTAAATTCAGAAGCAAGATAATCACAGTGATAATTATTCATGGTGGCAGGGACTTGGCTTTCAATCTCTTTCCTTACAGTATGCAAAATTTTGTCAAGCTGACAGCTGAGCTAAGAAGAAGCGAAACAAAGAATGTGCAAAAATAGGAGTAAAACGTGTCATAATTGCAGACAATCATAGTTCTTTCAAAGGGCTGCAATTGTGAGCTTTTTTGGGGGGGGCTTTTGGTTATTGTTCCCTAAACTATGCACATGTGATTGATTGATTAGTATGTACCTTTTCACATTACCTCTGTATATCTTTACAAAGCTACAAAAATGTTGAAGTCCTGAAAAATTGGGAAAACAAAGGTGCACTGGTATCTGTTGGACAGGTAAAGTCCTGTTCAACCCAGAATGGTAATTACAAAGTAGTTAAACTCAGGATGATAAGGGGTCCTACATTTTCAGGGTGGGATGAAGTCATTAAGCAAGTCTTGGCCTTCTTTTGATTGATTTTTTTATTTATTTTTCCATTACCATTGCTTAAAAAAACACACACAATAATTAAAAATACCGATACTACTAAATGTACCAAAAATGCGTTTTCTCAACTTATTCATTCAATTTAACTATCATATTATTTTTTTTTATAGATCATCACAATAAGAGAGGGCACACATTCCACATTAAACCTCTAAGGAAATATCTTCAGAAAAAATGAATGGCCAACAGATTGTCAGATGCAGGCTGTTACTCACATTTGACCAGTACTTTGTATTTTTGCCAGGCTGCATTGCACTTAAAGCCAGCATCACAAAACAACTGCTCGTCTCCTGAACTCTATTTATATTTTCCCCCACAGCTACCTGTTGTGACTAGTCGAAACTGCTGGTTCTGGTTGCCTGATATTCATTGATAACATTTTCAATCATTTCCAATACAGTGTGCTTTCCATTTTTTACAACTCCAAATAGAAAACTCTAAATGTTTTCAGACATATTTTCTTCTTTTCTGGACAGGCTGGCTTTTTCTGTGCCAACCTTTAAATTGGAAAGTAG